GGGAGAGAAGGGAGGCCTTTAATAGGGGAAGGGGCGGCCAGCCTGTATAATGGGCACTAGGGCAGCAGAGGGTGGGTGGGGAAGGGGCGGCTATACTGTATAATGGACACTAGGGGGCAGCAGAGGGTGGGTGGGGAAGGGGTGGCTATACTGTATAATGGGCACTAGGGCAGCAGAGGGTGGGCATGGGGAGGCTATACTGTATAAAGGTACATTATTATGGCAGAACAACCATTGCGCATATCTCTCTGGCATTCATAAAGCAGGCGGAGCTTATGATCCTTAGCTGGGTCATACGCTCCCACAGAGTCAGAAATTTTCTTTGGGGGTTTGGACGATACATTTGGCACCTCGAAGCTAGAGGTAGGACGGGTGGCTCCGGGCCGGGCGCTGACCCAGCTTCCGAGGGCCCTTGCCCAGGCACCAAACACTTACTGGTGTGATGCCCAAGTCAACGACCTGCGAAGAATCTTTCTGCTCCTGTGAGCCCCGAAGGGATTGGGGCCCAGATAGGCCTGTGGCCAGGCCCTTCAATACTGTGACCCACTTTGGGTCTGGGTTTTATCCCCCCCTAGGGAGACACAACTGAATGAAGCACAAGTCTCTGGTGTACATCCTATGTCAGGACGGGTCAGCGATCCTTCCCGGCTCTCTGCCCCTCCCAAGGCTGCATCGGGGATCAGGAGCAGAATTGCAGACAGGATGGAGGGTGCCACGTGGCACTTTGTATCTCCCCTGGCGTCCTCCTAGCCAGAGCAGGTCACATGGCCCAGTGACCCATCCCCGTGTCCCATGTCAGCAGCCATTATTTGCAGATTCCCAGACTCATCTCTCTGGGGTGTATAGGGCCCCCTGAGAACCATTGGCCTTGGGGACTTCCTAATTAGCACATTGGCTGGACATTCTTGGACCGTTGCTCCATCTCAGACATTCCCAGCACAAGCCCAGAACCCGTCTTCATAGCCCCACCCACAGACATCGCACACGGACAGGACTAGCACCTATAGAATGAGCAGGAAATGAGCTTTCATTGGACACCTCCCACGGCTCCCTCTGGACAGATTTTGGGGGAACCTCCCCACGAGGGCATGGCAGTGATCTGGCTGCTCCCCGTGCAATCCAGTCACGTGGCAGTTTGCGAGAGACGTTTCGGTGCTCTGGGGAAGAGTCAGCAGTTGCAGGAAAACTTTCCTGGTGGCTCAGGATTGGCCGGCGCCGTGTGCAGATTCTCACTCGGTACCGGGCTCTGCTCGGCCTGTTCCCACCGGGATCCCACTTCTCACACTGAACCAAAAGCCTTTTGTGTGTTACTCAGCCCAGGGGAAATAATTGTTCCCTGGCGGAGCAAGGCCTGGGCCTCTCTCTGAGCCTGGCCGCCCTGCAACGCCCCCTCTAAGGGGCCAGGATGGGACGGTTGCTGGTCACAGCTGGGCCTGACACAGCAACAGGCCAGAGGCAGGAGGAGACACAGTCGGCTGCCCTTCCCCTGGGCCTATTGGCAACCACAGCCCTGAGCTCTCCCCCTTCATGGTTTTCTCCCCGCAGCACCAGGCCTGCCAGCCCCACTGCCAGGCACCTGGCAGCCAGACACAACCCAGCCCCCGTCCGTGTGTCCATCCGTCACACAGGCAGCTGCCCTTCCCCTGGGCCTATTGGCAACCACAGCCCTGAGCTCTCCCCCTTCATGGTTTTCTCCCCGCAGCACCAGGCCTGCCAGCCCCACTGCCAGGCACCTGGCAGCCAGACACAACCCAGCCCCCGTCCGTGTGTCCATCCGTCCGCGCACTGTAAGGTTCTGTGTCTGCCCGGCCCCTGGCCTGTGCTCCTGGTAATCCCCCCGCCAACCCCACTCCTTGTTCTTTGCCTCCCGGCGCTGGGTCTGGGGTTGGGAGCTGCCCATCGTGGGGAGAATTCCCCAGCCCCCCACGTGGACTCAGCCCAGACATTGTGCCAGAGGGCGGGGGGAGAGGGGTTAAAAATGAGGCAAAGGCTGAGAAACAGGAAGTTGTTCTTGGTAAACAGCATCTGCTGCGGACGCCTGGGTACCGCCACGCACCTCTCCGAACTGGGGGTTCTTCATTAGATCGGTTAGAAAACATGACAGATCGGCACCCTGATCTCTTGGAACTGTGCAAGAAACAACTTATTCAAACAGCCCATCGTTCACCAGGAACAGCCCCTAGACTACAGGCCAGTAAAACACCGTCTCGCGATGAACCACTCCCGTCGCATTCATTGGCCTTGTCAGTACGTCTCAGACACAGCTCTATTGCTCCTCAACCTATTATCCCATGGACTCTTTTATGTCTTAATTAAAAATCTTACCATGGATAGATCTATTACTTTTAATTTCTTTCGACACTACTCGTTAATCGTCCCATTTGAACTTCTAGCCACAAACACGGTTAATAGGAATTTATTCACGGAGCGATGTGACTTCACTTTGCTCTCCTTCTTGCTATCCACCAAGATTACCCAACTTTTCCTGTTTCTTCCCAATATATATGCATTGCACCTTTCTTAATCGTTGTAATGTTCTAGATGGGCACATTTGCTTCTACAGAAATCTCCTTCCTCTTAGTTCTCTGTCAACAAAAATACTCCTGTAACTGACGTGTACAAAGACAGCATAAGAACATGTAATGAAGTCAGAAGAAGACGTTCTGATAAGAAAGCTGAAATTTCAGGTTAACCGAATGACATACAGATCTCTGGGGTTGTCTCTACACCAGCATGATTTTCCGGAAATGCTTTTAACGGAAAAGTTTTCTGTTAAAAGCATTTTCGGAAAAGCACGTCTAGATTGGCAGGGAAAAACTACTGTGCTGTCTACACTGGCCCTTTTGCGCAAAAGTCTTTCAGAAAAAGACTTTTGCCCGAACGGGAGCAGCATAGTATTTCCGGAAAAGCGCTGACAATCTTACATGAGATCGTCAGTGCTTTTTCGGAAATTCAAGCAGCCAGTGTAGACAGCTGGCAAGTTTTTCCGGAAAAGCGGCTGATTTTCTGTAAAAACTGGCCAGTCTAGACACAGCCTGGTTGTTCATATTTACCACAGAGATGTAGCTACGCTGTTAACTTATGTGTTAATTTTGAATGTCTCCGTATTGTAAGAGCGGGGGGAGGGAGGAAAAAAAAGGAAAGATCGAATATTTTACTAATAATTATAATAGGATTAATAATAACAAAATAGTAAGGAAAATGTATAATAAAAAAGTGTTTGATTTCTTTCCCAATCTTGCTTTTTCTAAACCGCTCCAGACCAATTCGTAACTTCTTAGCAAATTGATCTAAACATTATTGTCTCAACCTCCAGCTGATGTTTTTTCCTTTCAGAATTTAACTCTTTCCTGAGAGATGGGGACAAAGAGAGATCCACTTGGCCCATTTTCACACAGTAGCATTGAAGACCAAAATGTTTTGTCATTTCGACTTCTCTTCTAGACAACATTGTCACACAGACACATTCAGTCCCAGACCTGAGTTAAAAATATTTTTTCCTGGGATCAATTATTAACAAGTGTTAAGTATGAGTTTTAACCAAAGCTTGCTAGTTCATTAAAGACAGAAAAAGTCTTTCCCATCAGGTGTTCAAAACTGAGATTCAATCATTCTTTATTCAGTAATAAACCTTAGTAATTCCTAAAGATACATAAAGGTGCCTATAATCGATAAACATGCTTCCTAGTCGAATATGTCGATCTTCTATGCTTGATGTGTCCTTCAGAGTAGAGAAACAGAATTAATTAATAATCAATAATGATAACATTAAAATTATCAATTGAAATAATATTGCAATAAGTCACTTACAAACATATCGGTCACTTGATATCAGTTGCCTCTTCTCAGTGACGTATTTATAAAAGCATTTTTAGATGATTTCATGTAGATTCGAACTGTCTGTGACATATTAACTATTAATGAAAAGCCAAATACTAACTACTAATGATCAGACCTTCATTAAGTATAAGAAGTAGCTATTACTGGTGGATCCAATAATTACTGACTAATGATCAGTCCTGCATTGGTGAGCTATTAATGGTGCCAGCCAATGTGGGTCGGACCCCGAGCGCCAGGCAGAAGCGGGTGAGGAACAGACACGAGGACCTTGTGATCCTCCGAACGGCCCTCCAGTGCCCAGGCAAGCTACTCCAGCATCTCAGCCACCGGCCCTCAGCCCAGGGGCCCCCCGGGGGGCTGTCACCCCTCCCCTGCTGGGCGCCCGTCTCAGCCCAGCCCCACCCGACGGCAGCAGCCGGGCCTCTGTGGACAAGAGAGAGCTGGAGCCAGGACCCTGCCCGGGGGCACCCGCAGAAAAATCCCCCCTCGCCACCCAGTGCCCATTGGCTGGGGAGCTCTGCCAGAGAGGGGGGCCCCCCCAACCATCCCCGTTGGAGGCCAGATTTGCATACATGGCCCCATAAGAGGCAGCGTCTCCCTGGCCTGTCTCAGCTTCGCAGGAGGGACAGCGTGAAGGTCGGCCATGCGTCCGCTCCACGGCCTGCTCCTGCTGCTCTGCCTGGCTGGTGAGTCACCCTATGGGTGCCCCTGATCCAGCCTCTGCTCCTACCTCTGCTCCTGCCCAGCATCTATCTATCTATCTATCTATCTATCTATCTATCTATCTATCTATCTATCTATCTATCTATCTATCTATCTATCTATCTATCTATCTATCTATCTATCTATCTATCTATCTATCTATCTATCTATCTATCTATCTATCTATCTATCTATCTATCTATCTATCTATCTATCTATCTATCTATCTATCTATCTATCTATCTATCTATCTATCTATCTATCTATCTATCTATCTATCTATCTATCTATCTATCTATCTATCTATCTATCTATCTATCTATCTATCTATCTATCTATCTATCTATCTATCTATCTATCTATCTATCTATCTATCTATCTATCTATCTATCTATCTATCTATCTATCTATCTATCTATCTATCTATCTATCTATCTATCTATCTATCTATCTATCTATCTATCTATCTATCTATCTATCTATCTATCTATCTATCTATCTATCTATCTATCTATCTATCTATCTATCTATCTATCTATCTATCTATCTATCTATCTATCTATCTATCTATCTATCTATCTATCTATCTATCTATCTATCTATCTATCTATCTATCTATCTATCTATCTATCTATCTATCTATCTATCTATCTATCTATCTATCTATCTATCTATCTATCTATCTATCTATCTATCTATCTATCTATCTATCTATCTATCTATCTATCTATCTATCTATCTATCTATCTATCTATCTATCTATCTATCTATCTATCTATCTATCTATCTATCTATCTATCTATCTATCTATCTATCTATCTATCTATCTATCTATCTATCTATCTATCTATCTATCTATCTATCTTCATGTCTACAATATCTTCTTGTCCATCCTACCTCTCAGCGCTGACCTCTCTCCATTTCCATGCACCCTCCCACCCCCGAAAACTACAAAACTCCTGCTCCGGGCGAGGGCACAAGGAGCAGGGGTGACGATCTGGTTTGTCTCCCGCAGGGGGACGGTGCCAACGCGCCTCCTTCAGCCAGAGTCCCTCGGAGATCTCGGTGTCCCCCGGGGAGACGGCCACGCTGGAGTGCGCCGTGGCCAACGTCGGAGCGGACACAGTCGTTGTGATCTGGATCCGGCAGAGCCCGGGACAGAAGCCGGAGGGGGTGCTGTACATGACAACAGACCTGTCCGTGTACCGAGCACAGGGGATCCCGGAGCGATTTGAATCCTCCCGAGATGCTGCCAACAAGAAGTTCCTGCTCACCATCTGCCAGGTCCAGGCCGGGGACGACTCCGTCTATTTCTGCTTTGCCTTCTACACTTCAGACGGAGTCCAGACGTGGGGCGAGGGGACCCGCGTGCGGGTGCTGAGTGAGTACGGGGCTGGGTGCTCCCTTTCACGGGTGCATCCAGGGGGTAGGAGGGGGCTGGGGCAGATCTGAATTCCAGGCTGGTTCTGCCACGTCGCCGTGTCCCACCGTGTCCCTGCCCCTCGCTCCCCCCTCTCTGCAGCAGGGACCAGCCCTTCCCTACCCCCTGGAGTTGCTCATTCCTGTGATTGAGAGAGGCTCCAATAGTGTGGGTGTGGCCAGACGCGGACCTTTCCCTGGGGGCCACACAGAGGCTGGGGGAGCAGACCCAGGGGGTGACAGAGCTGTCTCTGTGATGCCCCCAGACACCAGACCAGCAGCATCTGTGACCACCCGTGTCTCTCTTGTCCCCACACTGGGCTCCCGAGAAGCTGGGCGTGGGACACAGACCGGGAGGCAGAGCGGGTCGGGGGCTATGGCCATTGGATTCCCCTATGTGTGTTTTATCCCCAGGCTGGGACACAGGCCCTGCAGGGACCTGCGAGGCACGTGTGTTCCCTAGGGGCCATTTCAACGGGGCCACCTGGGGTCGGCTGCGTGGGACCCTAAACCCTAAATCATCCAATGCTACATACACTAGCGAAGTTAATTAAAGGAAACAATGATAACGGTCCCACAACTGAGGGAGAGGAGATTGGATTTGTCCTGAAGACAGCCCGGATGGGGAAGGCCCTTCACTCTCAGAGGAGAGTGGAGTCTAGTGGTTAGAGCAAGCAGAGCTGCAAGCCAGGACTCCTGGGTTCTCTCTTGGTTCCATCAAGCAAGTGAGGGCTAGTGGTTGAAGTAGGAGGGACCCAAATCCACAATTCATTACTTTCATCCTGGTTCAGGGAAGGCAATGAGGTCTAATGGTTATATCGGGGTTCTGGGAACCAGGACTTCTGGGTTTTACCATGGCAGAGGGAGGGGAGTGCGGGAAAGTGGTTAGAGCAGGAGTGGATAGAAACCAAGGCGACAGTTATATTCTTGTTTTGGGTGGGCAGTGGGGTCTAGTGGTTAAAACAGGGAGGTCTGTGAATCACGAATCTGTGATTTTATCATGGCTCCGGGAGGGGAGCATTAGATAGTGGTTAAAACACGCAGAGCTGGAAACCCAAGCTCCTTGGATCCTGTTTCTTTGAATTTGGTTCTGGGAGGGCAGTGGGACCTAGTGGTTAAATGCAGGGCTCTGGGAACCAGGACTTCTGGGTTCTACTCTGGCTGAGGAATGGGAGAGCAGTCTAGTGGTTAGATCAGGCAGCCAGAGACCCAGCTTTCCCAGCCCTCTCCTCACTGACCTCCCGCTGTGTCCACAGGGAGTGACCTGCCCCAGCCCCACATGCAGCTCTTCCCGCCCGCCCAGGAGGAGCTGGCCACCGGCGCGGCCACTCTGACCTTCCTGGTGAGCGGCTTCTTCCCCGGCTACGTGGAGGTGCAGTGGGAGCGCGAGGGGCAGCGCCAGGCCCAGGGGGTGAGCACGGGGCCGGTGGCGCTAGGCCCGGACAAGACCTACACTGTGAGCAGCCACCTGACGGTGCCGGTCGGCGAGTGGCACGTGGGGACCAACTATAGTTGCCTTGTCCTGCACGAATCCCTGCGGAGCCCGCTGGAGAGCCAGGCCTGCCTCCCTGTGTGGCCCTGTGGGGAGCATCTGCTGCTGGGGCCCGGCCAGGCACTGGGACCGGCCTGTGGGGCCACCGACACGAACACGCCAAGGCCAGGACCGTGGGGGGCAGAGAATTGCTTTGTGCTTCCAATGGGCAGCAATAAACCATGGACTGAGAGCAAGTGAGCACTGGGTCAGCTCTATTGTATAAAGGCACGTTATTATGGGGGAAACAACCATTGTGCATATCTCTCTGGCATTGCCAAAGGGGCGGAGCTTTTGAACCTTATCTGGGTCAAACACTCCCACAGAAACAGAAGTTTTCTTTGGGGGATAGGATGATACATTTGGCACCTAGAAGCTAGATGTAGGATGGGCAGCTCCAGGTCCAGCTCTGACCGAGCTGACGAGGGCCCTTACGGAGGCTCCGGACACTTAGTGGTGCGGTTCTAAAGTTAATGACCCGCAAACAATCGTTCTGCTCCTGTGAGCCCTGACGGGGGCGGGTACCAGACAGACCTGTGGCCAGGCCCTTCAATACTGTGACCCAGTTTGTGTCTGTGTCTTATCCACTCCAAGGCGGAAACAATTGAGCGGGGCACGAAGAATTCCCCCCTCGGGCCGAGGGGGATGTGGGGTTCCAGCAAGGGAGAGGAAAAGGAACCAACTCAAAGGCATTGCCTGATCCCAGGACACTGACCTCTAACCCCTTGGAGACCAGCTGAGAACAGGTTCCACTGAGCTGGTGGATGGATCCCACCCGAGCGAGGAGGCCGCTCCAGTTGTCTCACGGACCGGGCTGGGTCCAGCCACCGCTGAGGCCGTCCCCTCAGGGCAAATTGCTCAAACTCGAGCTCCTTACGGCCCCAGATGGGAGACCGTTCCCAAACAGGCCACAAACCAGTCACTCCCAGCACTTCAGCTACCAATCGGGCCCGTGGGAAGCCTCACGTGCAAAACCCCTCTAGCTCCCCAGCTCTCCCTGTGCCCCAATCAGCCCCAGGCCTGCACAAAGGGGAGGGGTTATGGAACTCAATCTCACCTACCCGGGACGGGTTCTCCCAGTCCCAAGAACCAGTCACTGATCCCCGGTCAATTTCCACTTTGGCTCTTACCCACAAGAGCACGCTGGGCCAGTCCTTTAGCATCTAAAAATCGAACGGTTTATTAAAAAAAGAGAGAAAAGGCTGAGAGTCAGGTCGTTGCAGGGAATACGTCACATGCACCAACCACCAAGTTCTAGTTGCAGGCTGTGAGCAGAGATGGTAAAACCTGCTGGCTTAAAAGTCTCTGGTGTACATCCTATGTCAGGACGGGTCGGCGATCCTTCCCGGCGCTCTGCCCCTCGCAAGGCTGCATCAGGGATCAGGAGCAGAATTGCAGACAGGATGGAGGTTGCCACGTGGCACTTTGTATCTCCCCTGGCGTCCTCCTAGCCAGAGCTGGTCACATGGCCCAGTGACCCATCCCCTGTCCCATGTCAGCAGCCATTATTTGCAGGTTACCAGATGCATCCCTCTGGGGTGTATTGGGCCTCCTGACAGCCATTGGCCTTGGAGCCCTGCTAATTAGCACAGTCGTTGGCTGGACATTCCTGGCCCGTTGCTCCGTCTCAGACATTCCCAGCACAAGCCTAGAGCCCGTCTTCATAGCCCCACCCACAGACATCGCACACGGACAGGACTAGCACCTATAGAATCAGCAGGACATGAGCTTTCATTGAACACCTCCCACGGCTCCCTCTGGACAGATTTTGGGGGAACCCCCCAGTGATCTGGCAGTTCCCCTTAAAATCCAGTCACATGGCAGCTTGTGACAGATGTTTCGGGCATCTGGTGAGAGTTGGAGGTTGCAGGAAAAGTTTCCTGGTGGCTCAGGATTGGCCGGCGCCGTGGGCGGATTCTCACTCGGTACCGGGCTCTGCTCGGCCTGTTCCCACCGGGATCCCACTGGTCTCACCGAACCAAAAGCCTTTTGTGTGTTACCCACCCCGGGGGAATAATTGTTACCTGGCGGAGCAAGGCCTGGGACTCTCTCTGAGCCTGGCCGCCCTGCAACGACCCCTCCGAGGGGACGGGGAGGAAGGTGCCCTGGGCGCAGCTGGGCCTGACACAACAACCAGCCGGCGGCAGGAGGAGACGTGGTCGGCTGCCCCCCCACTCTCCTGGGCCTATTGACAACAGCAACCCTGAGACTTCCCCCCACGCAGGGCCCTCCCGGCAGCACCAGGCCTGCCAGCCCCCCAGTCCAGCGCCCAGAAATAAGACTCGGCCCAGGCCAAGTCCGTGTGTCCGTCCGTCCGCACCCTGTGGGGTTCTGTGTCTGCCCAGCCCCGTCCATGTGTCCATCCAGTCGCGTCCTGTTGGGTTCTGTGTCCGCTCGGCGCCCAGCCTGCGCCCCTGGGAATCTCCCCGCCGGCCCCGCTCCTTGTGCTGTGCCTCCCGGCGCTGGGCCTGGGGTCAGGAGCTGCCTGTCATGGGGAGAATCCCCCAGCACCTCCTGGACGTGGGCAGGGACCTCAGCCCCGACACGGCGAGGGGTGACGTTAAAACGAGGCGAAGTCTGGGAAATGGGAAGTAATTCTTTTCAATCAGCATCTACTAGAGACCCCTGGAGTCCCAGAACTTCCTACTCCCCCTGAACCACTCTGAACTGGGGGTTAATCGTTAGATCGGTTAGAAAACGTGACAGATCGACACCCCGATCTCGTGGAATCATGCAACAGATCACCGTTTTCTAACAGCGGATAATAAGCAAGGAGCACATTAATTACAAGCCAGGAAAATACCCTCATGTTCTAAACCCACCGGGTAATATTTATTTTCCTTTTAAGGACGTCTCAGAAACAACAGTATTGCGCCTCAACCTGTTATTCTGTGAACTCTTTTATGTCTTCATTAAAAATATCATCGATAGACTCTATTATTTTAATTATTTTCAACACAAATGATTAATCAGAGCATTCGTTCTTCAGTAAACACGCACTGCGAAGAGAAAAGCATTTGCAGAACAATCCGATGCGCGTTTCCTCTCCTTTCCCGTCGCCACGAAAGTGACGCTATTTCTCCTTTTTGCCTTCGCACTCCGCCATGAATTTCACCTTCATTAATCGGAGTCACGTTCTCTATGAGGCACCTGCCCTGAGAGAGTAATCTCATTGGCCTTCGCTCTCTCCCTGTCACCAGGAATTCTCCCACCGCGAATGCGGGTAAAGAGAGCCAGGTCCCATGCAAAGTAAAAGATAAA